TGAATAGGGTACCTGGGTGTTTTCACTATGTATGTTTCCGCCCTTTATGACATGCTGTTTGGAACTTGATGATTCATGTTCTATTATTAACCTTTTATGAGACATGAAAATCATAGTGAACTAAATGTATTCATTTAAAGTACCCATTCTTAGAGACATACTTTAACACTGGTTTCACTAAAATTAAGACATTTTTATGCAGAGAGGTGGGGTGCATCAGCTGAGCTAGATTGGCCACAATGTCACAATGATACTGCCTTCAGTATTTGAACGAGTTTATATCCTTCTGCATGTAGCTGTGCATTGTGTAATGCACACATGCACAAATGCTGCATGTGTGGTATTCAATGTGTTTAGTTAATGAGTCTTCTGTGATGTTGAAAATGTATAAATAAACATAATCAGCTAATATTTTACATTGCATAGTAATTTTTAATGAATAAAGTTTTGTGATGCAAAAAAAGTGCCAACATTAGCTTTAACACAAAAAGAAAATGAAAGTTGTTTGGTTATTTTCAGGTTTTGTAAGAAATATTTAACTGACATTAATGTATATATATGTGTGTTTATACAGAGCTATGTAAGTATTATATGTGCATTTATCTCTTAGAAATTCAGAGTTAAGTTTCCAATTTGACATGAAAAAGTGAAAAACTATACATTTCACAGTATGAAACATTAAGATCTACAAATTTACTGTAGGTTAGACCCATGGAAAAGACAGCTTTTTATCCTTCCTCCTTTGTTCTCTTTTTACCAAATTTAGAAACTGTTTTATGTTTAGATTAAAAAGAACATTGATATAATAGCTACATGACCATAACCTCCAATTTTTCTTTCATCTTAATTTTTCTATATAAGATATTCAGGTTTTAAATTTTTTTAATCATGAATTTATAAATGGGGTGTTAAGACACAATTTTGGAATTACTATTTCACTATTAGGTTTTGTTAGGTGCATTATAATTTTGAGATTCTAACTCAATGTTTCATTCCTCTCTTATTTCTTCAATGTAAATACTTTCTCCCCATTAAAAAATGCTGTAAGTGTGTTGGGTAATTAGTGTCAGACTGTTTCTCTGTTCTTATCCAGATAAGTAACACTTTCATCTGTGAAGAGACTCTTGGAATAGATTAAGTCATTACTTAAGATTATTAAAATTATATCCATCATTATTTTTAGAGTAATTCTAGAAGCAGATATTCATTTAAGCTCTAGTTCTGTAAACAGAATTAACTAATATTTATTAACTAATATGTTAACTAATATTTATTTCACAAAGGTCCAATACACTTAACATTGGAACTGTAGTCATTCCATGATTTGAAAAATATGCTTATGAGTTTAAGAGAGAGAGAATAAGGTTTTTAACAAACATGAACAAACATCCAGCTCTCAGTCAAAATCAATGTTATTTCCATATCACCCTTGCCTTATTTAATGAATGAACAAAAGGTAAAACAGTAGGAATTAAGTATATCCAGATAGAAATGTTTCTAGTCTAAAGTTTTTCAATCAGTTTTTAATGAAATTTATTTCTTCTCAGTGGAGTTCTTTTCTGTAGTTGTGAAAGAAACATGACAATGATTCAAAGTAAAGACTGCAGATATGCGTGATATATGATTTATGACTTTCTTCTATAGGTTTTCTTCCTCTTTCCTTCATTCAGGCCACCAGCATGACTGTCTCCAGAGTGCATTTGTGTCCGCTGTTCTTGTATTCCTAAGGTTCATACTTTGTTGCATGGTTCACTTCATACCCATTATTCATACCCATGAGAAGCAAAGAAGGATTTCAAG